CCACTGGACTCAATTTCCTCTCCCTATCATTTTATTTTTTGATACAGGTCTCACTATGGAAGCCAGGATGGTTTGGAACTCATGACACTGACTCTGCTACCCAAGTGCTAGAATTACAGGTATGTGTTACCATGCACAATTTCCTCTACCATCTTAAAAGCCCATCTCCAGGCTGAGAATGTGGCTTAGTGATAGAGTGCTTGCCTTGCATGCACGAAGCCCTGGGTTCAATTCCTCAGTATCACATAAACAGAAAAAGCTGGAAGTACCCTGTGACTCTAGTGATAGAGTGCTAGCCTTGAGCAAAAGCAGCTCAAAGCCAGTGCCTAAGCCCTTTGCTCAAGCCCTAGGCCTGGTAAAAAAAATAAAATAAAAGGTCAGCTCCCTACTCATTTAATTACCATTTTCCAAATTAATGGTAATTTACCAACTACTAGCACTAATCCAAATTCTGACTGGTTTAACACTTCCTAACCCTTGCTCTGAGCAAGTGGCTTAAATTTCTTGGAACTCATCTCCTTCAACTATATAGTAAAATTAAATGTACGCATTATCCTGCCCATGTAAATGTAACCCCTCTGTACAGTATGTTCACAAATAAAATTAAATTAAATTTAAAAAAAAGATTATTCTTTAAAATATGAGTGCCAGGTATGGTGACACATGACTGTAATCCAGCACTAGGATGAAATAAACAGCAAGATCTCAAGTTCAAGGCCAGCCTGGATTCCATATGAAAAGACCCTGTCCCCCCAAAATGGTAGGGGAATAACCTTAAAGCCCTTAGAGCAATATTCAGCAAGTGGTAAGTATGTACTTAATTAATAAATCTTGAGCTGACCACTGGTAGCTCATTGTAATCCTAAACTACTCAGGAGGCTGAGATTTGAGCATCACAGCTCAAAGCCAGCTTGGGCAGAAAAAGTCCACGAGATGCTTAGCTCAATTAACCAGCAAAAGGCCAGAAGACGAGGTGTGGCTCAAGTGGTAGAGCAATAGCCTGGAGTGGAAAAGCTCAGGGACAGCACTCAGGCCATGAGTTCAAGCCATAACACCAGCACACGTATGCATTCATGCACATACACCGCCCCCCCCCACTTCATGGGGTCCATGGGATCTGACAACATATCACCAAACAGTATTAATCATCTGTTTCTCAATTACCTTTCATTGACTGCCTATAATTGAATGGACTATTTTATTTCCATTATATCTCAGGTTAAGTTTTCCTTCTTCTTATGGAAAGCAAAGTTAAGTTTTCCATTAGGATGGCAAAGCACTTTTTCCTTGTCCAATTGATGAATATGCACCAGTCATCTTCAAGGAAAAAAAAAAAAAAACAACTATACTTACAGGACCCCACAAATGTGGCCAAGCAGGAAGTCACTTTGCCCCAGGACCAGTTTTATGTCTCCTATGGCCATCTCTGAGCTTCTTCCCTGCTACTTTTTTGGGGGATTTTTAGGTACACCCTTGACTTTCAGAACTCTGTGTGTGCTGTGTGTGTGTGTGTGTGCACGCCCGCATGCCCGCCTGCCTGCAGTGGTATGCTGGTTTGGAGACTTGAACTGAGGGCCTGAGCAATGTCCCTGAGCTTTCTTTTTTCTTGTTTTTTTTTTTTTAATCAAGGCCAATGCTCTACCACTTGACCCACAGCTCTGCTTCCGGCTTTTTGGTGGCTAATTGGAAATCAGAGTCTTATAGACTTTTCTGCCAGAGGTGGCCTCAAATCGCGACCCTCAGATATCAGCATCCTGGGTAGCTAGGCGTGAGCTACCAGACCCTGGAAAAAAAATTATTATTATTATAGTCCCGGATCTATCTCTTACTATGCTTAAGAAGAAATCTCAGAATCCACCGAATGAATCTGTGCTACTGGGACCACCAGCCCTCCCAGCAAAGGCGGGGAAACAGGCTCAGAGAGGGAAAGGCACGGGCCCGCTGCCACACAGCGGGGCTATAACTTGAACTCAAATCCACCGGCCTGAAAACCCAAGGAGCCTTCCCGCGCCTCAAGGCCAATGGTAAACGCCTAGTGACGAAGTGGTCACCACAAAGCGAGGGCTACCGTCGGATTTTGACCACCACCCCCCCCGCCCCATTTTCCAGAGAAGGAAACTAAGGCGCAAAGAAAGAAAGAAAGCGCTCCGAGCCTGGATTGTGATTATGGAGCCCCGGACGCCCTCCATCCCGCATCCCACCCAGCCCAGTCCCTCCTCTCCCGGTTCACGCCTTATCTAGCTCACCCGGCCCGGTAGCACCGACACGCGCCCGCCCTCCAGACCGTACCAACTGTCAGATAACCCTTTTCCCTCCTCCCGCCCCGGAAGTTCCGCCCGGCACCGAAGTCACTCTGAACTACCACGGACGCTCTAGCCTTCCGGTCCGCCACAACCAGCGAGAGGGCCTCACGTGACTGCTTCGACGTCCCCCGCGCGCTAGTCGAGGAGAAGCGGCCAATGAGAAGGGCGCGGACATGGGCCCCGCCCCTTCGCAGCCGGAGTTGGAATGCGCAGGCGCACAGGTGGCTGGAGAGGCGGGGCTCCGGCCTCGAAGGTTGCTTGCGTGCTGGCTGGGTCCTGAGTGGCCGACGCGGAGTGCAGGTACTGTGCGATCTAGGGGTACGACACCGCCGTGGCCACCCTTGAGTTACCCCCTCGTTTGCAATACATCCCCCTTCTTATGTTGTCCTCCATCCCTTCCGTCGCCCATCGTCAGTACTCTCCTGTGAGCATCACCTTCCTTCTGTCGTCATCGGCCTTTTAAATTCGCCTGCGTTCCTCTTAAGCCCTCATTGCCTTTAGGTGTGCAATCGCCCCCTCTTTGAATCGTCATCGCCTCCAGCCTCTCCCCTCTTTCGCTGCCATTTCTGCTTCGTGAAACCCTCACTTCTAAATCTTTCTCTTCCCCCACCGTCCCTTTTCCTGTTCCCATCTCTCCCCCGATTTGTTTGTTTGAGACCAGGTCTCGCTCTGAAGTCCCTGCTAAGCCTCAAACTCCCGATCCTCCAGCCTCAGCCTCCAAGGTGCTGAGGCTACAGGTGACCCTGAGCATCTCATCCCTGGCTATGTTCATTGCCCTCTTATGTCCTTCCTTTTTTCCCTGCCCCTCCCCGTCCTGCGACAGTCATGTCAGTGTTTCCTGCACCGTTTGCTCCGTCAGAAGATACCCAGCCTTATAGTCATTTTCCTTCCTTCCGTGTGTCCATCGTTTATAATCCCTGTGTTGGGCTTCGCCTTCTCCCATCATAACTCCATTCTGGAGCTGTTACCTGAGGTGCACCTAGAATCTCAGCGCTTCCCTAAACGTTGAACATCTAATTCAATCCCAACCCCAGATTCCTCGTGTGTAAATTGCACAGGAGGACATCCATGTCAGGGGAGGCGTGTGGCAATTCCGGACACATCTGTGTCCTGGTGTCATTTAGACTATTATGGTAATTAGCCGTGCACATCCCCCTCCCCCATCCAATCTCCTCTACTCCCTTTGTCAGCTGACTGCCATTGCTCCCCACCCCCACCCCACTTGCACTTGTCATTCCATTCCTGTGGTGTCATCCCCTCTTCCACAGCAATCACTCCACCCCCACAATCTTCACTCTACTTTCAGAGTCTTCCTTCTACTCCCCCTCCTGGTCTCCATATTCGAGGGTACCCAGGGGCCATCACCAACCTTCCTTCATTTCAGCGACAGCCCAGAGATAGCTCTGGACTTGGAGAAGGGATGGGAAGGCACAGAGGGCTGTGGGACTCCAGAGAGATGCCTGTAGTGGCCTCCCTGGGAGATCAGGGAAGGCTTCCTGGAGGAGGTGGTATGTATGCTGAGCGGGATACCAAAGTGTGGAAGGGTTCAAAGGAAGCTGTGCTGCGCAGGAGAAGCCACAGTGATTTAGTGATGAATATGTGGTTTCAGTTCAAGGAACTGAAAGATATTCAATAAGGCTTGGGGTGTTTAAAAAAAACAAAAAGGTGAAAGAGGTTACTGAGGGAAGCCTTTCAGGGCCTTGAGGAGGAACTGGGATTTTTTTTTTTTTCAGTCGGTTGTGGGGCTTGAACTCTGGGCCTGGGCACTGTCCCTCGGCTCTTCAGCTCAAGGTGAGTGCACTACCACTTGAGCCACAGCGCCACTTCTGGTTTTCCAGTGGTTTATTGGAGATAAGAGTCTCACTGACTTTCCTGCCAGGGTTAGCTTTGAACCTTGATCCTCAGATCTCAGCCTCCTAAGTAGCTAGAATTACAGGCATGAGCCACTGATGCCCAACTGAACTGGGATTTTTGTTCTAGGAAAACCCGGGAACTTTGAGCAGGGGAGGAGCCAGTCAAATTTAGGTGAAAGGGAGATCAGAAAGTTAAGTAAAAGCTGGGAATAGGGTGGCCACCCAGGCTGAGACCTGCAGGCAGGTGTCTTTGAAATAGAGACCCGGAGGTGGAACAGATGTAGGAAATAGAGCGACAACAGGGGTGAGGGGCGTGTGAGGGTCAGGGCCCATGGGACACCCTGGGATCGCCAGGGCTGGACTTCAGAGGGAGGCAGAATGGAGACAGGAATGAAGTGGGAAGGCGGAACTGAAGCTGCCATGGCAAGTGAGGGTCCATGCAGCCTGTCCAAGTCAGTCTCTGTCCAAGTCAGTCCCTATCGGACATGGTTAGAAGTTTAGATGTTCTGCCTGGCACTGGTGGCTCAAGCCTATAATCCTAGCTACTCAGGAGGCTGAGATCTGAGGATCACAGTTCAAAGCTAACCCAGGCCAAAAAGTCCCCATGAGACTCTTACTTTCTTTTTTTTTTTTTTGGGGGGGGGGCCAGTCGTGGGCCTGGGGGTTGTCCCTCAGCTCTTCAGCTCAAGGCTAGTGCTCTACCACTTGAGCCACAGCTCTGCTTCCGGCTTTTTGGTGGCTAATTGG